TATTAAAGTTTAAAGTTGCACAAGGACTTTATAAACACCCTGTATATGTCAATACCTTTTTGCTCTGTTTGTCCTTCCTGAATAAGTATGTCCATCCCTAACAGTACTCTGGTAATGTGAAAAATCCTACCATGGCTCCATAATCCCAGTTACATTGTAATTCTGTGGTTGTACATGAGGTAAAGAAGAAACAGTGAGTACACTCTGTTATGGGGGTCACTCAGTTAGAACTGGTAAGAAAAAGGAAGAAAAATCCATATTTTGGGGGGGGTTTCAATAAAACATTAGTCTCACTTAATTTTTCTATCTGGCTCCTCTCAGAAATGTTGCATTGAATGCTGCAGGCTGCTGTAGCCTTTGAACATACAGTTATTTACTATCTTATTATATTGCCTAGGATCCCTAGTCATATTTTGTTTACCTGAAGACAAATTATAGCTTCCAGACTCATCAAACTTGTCAAAGTATTTTTTAAAGCTGTAGCATGTCTACTTAAAACTATAAATAAACAACACTTTCAGATCATGTGTTGAGGTTGGTTAGCTTCTTGTTTTTATGCATATGTGGTGTAGAGGGGAAGGAAGAGGAGTGAACTGAGAAACTTCAAAGAAACCTTGCATTAGAGCCAAACACAGCCAAAGGGGCTATTGGCAACTAACCTTCAGAGAAGAGTAGATCAATACTGTACAGTCACCAGAAAGGAGATTTTATATCGCGCACACACGCACACACACACACACACACACACACACACACACACACACACACACACACTAGCCAATTGCCTGTCAAGAATGATGGTGGGGGGAGGGGGCTGGAATGGGGTGCCACCACCTAATGCCTCATGCTGCCACTCTTTTGCCTCTTGCAGGGAGCGGGGTAGGGAAGCCGAGGCCAGTGCTGCTGGCCCCCACCCCCTGTCCGGACACACACACACACACACACTAGCCAATTGCCTGTCAAGAATGATGGTGGGGGGAGGGGGCTGGAATGGGGTGCCACCACCTAATGCCTCATGCTGCCACTCTTTTGCCTCTTGCAGGGAGCGGGGTAGGGAAGCCGAGGCCAGTGCTGCTGGCCCCCACCCCCTGTCCGGACACACACACACACACACACTAGCCAATTGCCTGTCAAGAATGATGGTGGGGGGAGGGGGCTGGAATGGGGTGCCACCACCTAATGCCTCATGCTGCCACTCTTTTGCCTCTTGCAGGGAGCGGGGTAGGGAAGCCGAGGCCAGTGCTGCTGGCCCCCACCCCCTGTCCGGACACACACACACACACACACTAGCCAATTGCCTGTCAAGAATGATGGTGGGGGGAGGGGGCTGGAATGGGGTGCCACCACCTAATGCCTCATGCTGCCACTCTTTTGCCTCTTGCAGGGAGCGGGGTAGGGAAGCCGAGGCCAGTGCTGCTGGCCCCCACCCCCTGTCCGGACACACACACACACACACACTAGCCAATTGCCTGTCAAGAATGATGGTGGGGGGAGGGGGCTGGAATGGGGTGCCACCACCTAATGCCTCATGCTGCCACTCTTTTGCCTCTTGCAGGGAGCGGGGTAGGGAAGCCGAGGCCAGTGCTGCTGGCCCCCACCCCCTGTCCGGACACACACACACACACACACTAGCCAATTGCCTGTCAAGAATGATGGTGGGGGGAGGGGGCTGGAATGGGGTGCCACCACCTAATGCCTCATGCTGCCACTCTTTTGCCTCTTGCAGGGAGCGGGGTAGGGAAGCCGAGGCCAGTGCTGCTGGCCCCCACCCCCTGTCCGGTCCTTGGTGTGGCTTGCAGGGAGTGGAGTGGGGCAGCAGAGGCCAACGCTGTGGAATCATGGCGGCACTCCCCCACGCTTGGAGCACTCTGATTGGCTGTTTCCATCAGCCAGTCAGAGTGCGAATAAAGCATTACAGACAGACAGACTTAGGCTTTTATAATATTAGAATATATATATAAATATATTTATACAAATATACACAATATATACAAATATATTTTCCTTTCTGATTAAGAACTCATCCTTTTTCCAGTTCTATAACCTATGATTCTGATCCAATCCCACCAGCACAGGGGGCATTATTTTGAGAAATGACAGGGCATGGCCAATGGCCGCTGTCCTCTGGTTGTAAAGTTCAAGTTAATGTCTTTTGTGTCTGGTCTTAACTTGAACCAAGGATCAGGACTCCAGAGTTCTGTCCTGTATTTAGTTTGAAGCTGTAAGCAGAATATTTTTTTTCTATATATTACAAGGCTGGTCACATAAAACAAAAGTCTCATTGCATGAAGAAATGTTTGTTATAGTTAAAAAAAAAGTGCTATAAGCTATTTGCTTTTTTAAAAATATGGTATATTGCAAGAAATCTGTTCTTCTCCAGCCAACAGAAATGACTCTAAGAATCAGACAGACTGTGAGTTTTAGTATTAAAGGCCACAAAAGAAATCAGACAAATGCTCTAATAGTGAAAGTGCAATTAAGAACCTGGTGATTGACTTATTTATTGTGAAACTATACAAGTAGCTTTTTATTAAGTTACCCTATTACTGAGAAAGTCCAACATTATTAGTAGTCGAGAGACCTGATGCTTTTCCCCAACTGAACATATTTTATCACAAAGGTCAAAACTGAGATCATTTTTAAGATGCAATACAATGCTAGCATCATTTATTTCCTGTTAAGGAAATCCTTCAAATCCCAACTCTACAAATGTTTGAAGCCAATAGAGCTTCATGCAAAGATTTTCTGCCTAGAGCAGCTTGTAGAATCAGGATCTTAGAATTTAATTTGGTGCAGGGATATAGAGAACTACTCAGAGCACATCGTGACTTGTGCAACATTTTTTTTGAGTAATGCCAGCTATAAAGTAAAACAGTGGCCTCCTTATTTTACTGTATTGGGTTCAGCAGGAATTCCCAAGCCACTATGCAGTCTATTACTAGTTGTTGTGTAGGAGAAAGAAAGGCATTCTGGTGTCAATTCTACCTGCTGCTTCTATATATACTGGGCTGTAATGGAGCTATAAGGAGCCAGGGGAGAATGTTTTCAGCATTGGGTTATAGAACTCCTTAAGTGTTGTAATTTATTCTGAGTTCTATTCAGACCCTAGCCAGCTGAGAAAACAGATGGCACAACAATGGCTTAAAACTCCTTTGCCTCCCTTCTTTGGTATGTGCTGTGTTGCACTTCCCAGGAAGCACAGCACATTATTTGTGTAAAATATGCTCCAGGATGAAAAGGATTCATCCTACATTCTGGATATATGAAAAGGCTGTTAATAAAACACTGTAATAAACCAGGGACTAATTGGGGCTGAGCCAGTCCAAGGCCCCAGCTAGAGGTAATCAGACAATCAAGCTGAGTTATCACTCAGAGAGAAGGCCCACCCATACTGGCCATATAAGCTCAGATCAGACAGCAGGAAAGCTATGTGGGCAATGGACCTCATTTTTGTGCTTTTGGCCTGCTTGGAACTACTAAACTTGACCAGGGTTTGAATTATACTCCCACTCTTGGGAAGGGTCTGCAGTGGTGGCAGCTGGAAGGAGCCACTGCCTGAGCTGCTTAGAAAGGTGCAGGGCAAGCCAGGGGCTCTTGTCTCTTATGGGGGTCTCTTGTCTCTTATGGGGGGGCTCAGCCCCCTCTGAACTCCCCATCCCCCATATTTTGAACCCTGAACTTGACTCTATGCTCTGAAACTCTAGTTTATGACTGCTTATTCATGATGGTTCCTGTTGCTGTTCCTATCTTGGTCCTTTTGACCTGGATGAAGTGCTTGTCCTGACTAGTACCTCACCTTGTCCTTTGGTTTGATATCTTGGACCCAGGCTAATACCCAGCTTAATCTTGGCTTACACTCCAGTAACCCCTGACCTGGTTTGCTTCACCTGACCATCCTGACCTTGTTGCCCCTTACAGATGTTCACACATGTGCATGCACATGCATGAAAGTTCACAGGCTTTCTAGGATGCATGCTTGTTTAGAGCTAGTTATCTTTCTGGCATTTGGTAGTACTTTTTATCAAATGCATGGGATCTATCTCCACCTCATGACAGCTGTATGTCTTAAAACCAAGATTAGATGAACATCTCGGCTTATCTTGAAGAAGCAATTAACTAAATTTGTTGTTTGAACTATACTGAAATGATGGTGGTGCTTGAAGTAGGAAAGAAACAAAAAGTGACTAGTTTCAAGTTGTATGAGATGGTATTCTCCTCTGCAAGAGGAAGAATAGGAAAGAATGGAAATGTTAGATTTCTAAGAGGCTATTGCCAATAATAAAAAATAACAGAGAAATATGCAACTGTTGTTAACATTTTCTACAGCAGTACATTTAAGATAATTATAATTGTTCTTGCAATACTTACAGAAAACATACCACATTAAACAAGAGGGGAAAATACATTTTATAAAACTCAGGCATATATTGGTTTTGTGTAAACGAAACAATGATAACAGGAAATAAATGACTAAATCATAGCACTCTCAGAAGAGTCACAACTTAAACACTAATAGACAACGCTTTATAAACTTTCAGCTAATAAAAAGAACTATCATCATGAAAAAGCTTGTTGGAAAAGCTTCTGAAAGAAAAGAAAAAGATGATGACAACTTCCAGATAAACATTAAATAAAAATTGAGTTACAGAGCTGGACTTACACAGTCCCTGCATTTGGGCTGCAGTTTTTTCAAAAGAAAATAATCAGGTCTGCATTTTGGTGTCTGCAGTGAATTGTGGGTACAGTCAGTCATAGTTGAATATCTACTTGTTTGTCCCTACAAATCAGGTAAATAACAAGTTTATTAATAATCTGTCCTATAATTAACCAAGATTGTAAAACTACACCTGCAAAAACTGAGACACAATTGAATTTCAGACTTTTTAATTCCAGTTTCTGTTGTTAAATCTGAACAATCTCCATTGAAGCCATAATGTTTGTTCATAAATATAACCCAAAGCAAGATAATATCTACTTTTAATTCTGTTTACTGCTTTTAGGACCTGAACATTTAATAGGTGCCAAGTACAGTGATGACCACATTTTAGACCCTGAACAGAACTGAACTGAATTCAGTAGAAGCTGGATTTTGCCTGCTGAAGCCAGTAACAAAATACATACTTATCTAAGGTGAATTCTGAAACAGTAATCCTACCTGAAGCAGCTTCCTGATTCTTTTCAGGTTGTGTATCAACAAGAGGTTCTTTTCTTGTGAAACGCGGTCTAATTGTTCTTCCACTTGTATTAACAAGTTCTGCAAGAGGATTGTTGCCATTGGTTCATTGTTGGAGGCAGCCTCCCTATGCAATAAAAATTAATATGAAGCATACTTGCAAATGAATAAAAATTCATGATAAATGTCACTCATTAAATAACTTTTTTGGTTTGTTAATTTATATTGAGCAGAGACAGTGAGAGAGAGGGAATAATTCTGTAGCTTGGTGGTTATAGCCCTCATCTGAGAGGGAGGACAACCTAGGCTCCAATCTCTGCTCCACTGAATAGTTAAGCTATGTGGAACAGCTTCAGCAAGAGAGATTCAGAATGATCCATCCTAGAATGTATCTTGCTGGTTAGGAAGCTTTCTTGGCAGGTAGGAGACTTCACTTTAAATCCCTGCTCCAAATGAAGCAGAGAGGGTATGGAATTGATATCTTCTGCATCCCTCATGAGTGCCCCAAACACAAAATCAAAGGTTCCTCTTTTTACTTCTCACCTCTTTTGTAAATGGCACCTCTGTCCCTTTGTGAATACAGCCTGAAAAATTTAAATATCTCATTTTAAGAATGAACCCTCAAATTAACTCTTTTGACATTTATTTTTTATTTCTTCACAATTGAAAGTATTCACCGAATATAACCCAAATTTGCAAATAGCTTTGGCTGCCCCAAAACTCTACTTTTCTCCAGACAAAAGATTTTGGGGAAAAATTGCTTAGTTCTTTATTGAGCAGGGGGAAAAAAAAGAAATGAAACAACTTCAAGCCTTAATTCAAAACTGATAAAATAGCCTAGAAGCATTTTCTTCCATGCATAAAATTTTGACATATCATTAATGTTCTAAACTAACTCTTATTTTATGTAGAGATAAGCTCAGACAAAAATCTTGTATCAAAACACACCTGAAATTTAGGGTTGTAAGAGGAGGATATAGAGAGCTAAAAGATGGATGCCTCCACGAATGCATTGCCTGATTATATTAGCCTTCCCAGAGTGGCTGGAAATCTTGGACAGGATGAACAGGAATGGGGTCCATTTACAAAATCCTTGGTACAGAGCTTCCTTGGGGACACATGTCAGCTGTGGCGTGCAATCAGCAGCTGTGTTACTAGTGTCTATTGCTGTTCGCCCTGCCGCATCTGTATCTGGCCTGCAGACCAGATCTAGCCCATGAGGAGAGGCAAGTTTGGCACCTCTGGTTTAGATAAACCCCTTCTGATCCAGACAGATAGCATGTAATCTTTTAATTAATACATTACTAAAGCATGTGGATAGGATGTGTTTGCAACGTCCATAAGCAAGTGCATTAGAAATCTGTTTCTATGGATGCGTCGAGACGAGCACGCATGTGCCTCTTGCCCCATCTCAAACCCCTTTGAGACGGGGCAAGAGGCACATACGGGAACGAAAAAATGTTTCCTGCACTGCAAACTTGCAGCACAGGGAGAAAATTAGACCTATCCAGGGGTCTAAAAAAAAACAGTTTAAAAAAGCTGGGCAGGGTGGTCCCAGGCCATGCCCGTGGTCCCAGGCCATGCCCTGAGGCAGACTGGGTCCTCCACAGAGACGCTCTGGCTGCCAGAGTGTCTCTATGGTTGACTCCTTGCCCTGGTGCTGAAACGTGTGGCCTGCCAGACAGCATGTTCAGCACCAGGACTCCAGTACTGTAAGTAAGGGGTTGGGG